GTGCTCTTCCGATCTCAACTTTTATCATATTAAAATTGTCACTTTACCGTGCAAAAATTAATCATGTTTTTCTGCTCTCTAACATAAATAATATTTCTAAGTGATCACTGTGCTTACAATAAAGTTTAGTCAGAGCCGTTTAATTTAATATTATATTTATTAGGTCTATCTCTGTTAGTTTACGAGATAAAAAGGGGTGGCCACTTATACGGGGACACCTTATATATATTTGCAATTAGTCAATTAACATAAAAATAACTGTGATGAGGTTGAATATGACAAAATATCAGACAGTATTCGACATTGATCATTCATCGACATATCGTCATCGAAACGATGTCAATTCGACTAATAATTTCTGGCGACAAGACATCGCGCTCGGATCATTTCAGATAGGCAATCGTTCGATTCTCATAATCATAAAGCTCGAGAGAAAAAAAGGATGTCCATTTGTTTCAGGGATAGAAATTAGGAAACAAGTGCCGTGGCATGCACAAAAGCAGCGTTGAACAGTGTGGCGACGCACAGCCTCACGCGCAGCTACAAGCGAAAGAAGAGAGAGAAATCCGGATGTAAGAGGGACTACGTATAATACGTCGCGTTTGTTCCTGGGCGTGCCACGGATTGTGCGAACAACACCAAGACCAAGTTTAATACAGACTGAGACTAGGCCAATGATCTTTTCCTCCTTTTGCGGGACGCAAGTAACGGTGTAATCGACGTAAATGCGATGCAAATTCCTCTTTTTCGTTTAAGCATCGCTTTAAGAATTAATACTCGTGCGTTTCCCCATACCGTGGAAGGAAACCAAGGTTCTCAATTGAACGCGGACTTCGGGAAATGCGAAGGTCTCGCCGCGTTTCTCCCTTTCAACACAAAAGACAATGTCCGGATGTATGTAGTACAGTGTGGCTCACTCGACATCCGCTTTCGGATACTATTCGGAATATGGATATTGAAATACTTGTATATTTTATGCCTCTTGTCAGTCAGAGTAACGTATAGAACGAAAGGTCGATCGAGCATGAGATTCAAAGGAGTCAAAGGAGAACAGAATCGGAAGATAATGAAAGAGACTTCCCTTTAACGATACGGTAAAGACTGTCCTGTGAAGAACTACGATCTACTGATCGAATTGTCTAGCACAAATTATTAATGCTGCCAATTCTCCAACGCGTCGTTTTCCTTATGAGGAGTATCCTCTCTACCTTGACACCGGACTGCCGATCCACTTTGAGCCACCGAGCAAAACGCCATATAAAAAATGCCAAACATGTCGACACATGTGCGATTATTTACATATATCATTATTGCGCTACGAGTGTCGCGTGGTTCATCATTTCGGATCTCGCTTGTCTCTGTAGTTGAGGAGGGAAGAACATTCTGATATTAGATATTGCCCCAAAGGCAAAGGAAGAGAGAAAGAATTTTCGAGCGGAGCAACTACTCCAATTATAAATACTCTGTGTACATGGATTTTTAAGTAGCCGTTTTCTTATTACTCTACCTTACTGTGTAACTTTCTATCGATAAACTGAGGGCGATTCTTACGCCGCGTAGATCGCGGCTGATACGTTCGTTTAATCGGATCTACGCGCTGTATGGATCCTTCGAATGTATGTATTATTGCAGCATCCGCCGTCCCTCTCTCCAATTCGAGTACAGTAATTTAATGGGCACGCAAATGCAAATGTTTCTCGTTCGTGCATGTTGGTTCAACTCGTATATAACGAATTTAAGAATCTGCATGGTGCACTATTGTTATAGATATCGTAAACCAACCGAGGATTAATTGAATTGTAGAATTTCTGTTTTTCATCTAATTGATAATGCATCCCTTACATCGCTAATTCTTAATGGCATTATGCGTAGATCCATCACGTCCACTAAGTCTGAAAACTTTGCGGATTGAGAGAATTATGGAAAAAGATACGGCACATAAATCAATTGCTTCCTGTCGCAACACACATATGTATCATTTCCGAAGAAGAAATTAGTGTGCTTAGTTAGAGGACTTGTGTGTCATTTAATGTAAATTTGCATTCGACTGCCAAAAAAAAGAATCATAAACGTTGCACAAAAGTATTGTTGTAACTGGAAGACGAGGGATATTATGAAGGATGTTGCGAAATGATGAGTAGAAACGGATCGACACCGAGACGCTCTGGCAACCGCTCTCGTACATGTGTAGAGCGAAAGGTGATATTAGTATTCAACTGGATTGAATTCACGTTTTACTACGAAAACTGATTCTTATACTTATTCGTGAATGAATGAAACGTCGACATTTGTATGATATATAAAGTCTCTTTCTCGAATGCATGTATCGTCAGAAATCGAGTTCACCGAAATCACATCGGTTTTAAAAGTTCTCGGCACAAAGTTCTCAGAAACTCGAGAGAGATATTAAAAGCAAAACTCACGTTCCGTAATCTCTTTAACAGAGAACACGTTTTTGTGATACAAATTTCTTACGGATTTTGTTGAAATTCTCACGCACACTGAGTGAATTTCCTTTTAATGCCTCCTATGTTACATGATAAGATAATGCCAACCGTCTTGAGAGAGAGAGAGAGAGAGAGAGAGAGAGAGAAAGAGCGTCGAGCCTGATCGGATATTGGCAATCGGAATTGCCAAAAAGTTAGTCAACTCCTTTCCTTCGTGTATCGTACTGAAGTGCGGTGTGAATGGCGGCGTGAAGTTTCTAGGGTATTAACGAGAATGCGCAAGAAGTGCAAAAGGTGATAAGTGTGTACGATACGTGTGCATATGTATGTGATGAGTGAAAGAGAGAAAGAAAGAAAATTGTCGCAAATTTGTAGTAAATTAAAATTTTGCAAAAATCCCCGCTGTATCATTAACGTATCTTAATACCAGTAGCGTAATTTTACTGAATCTACGTCTTAGTCTATCGACACGATGTACGTATGCGTCACGCGATTCAGAGGAACAATGATATTTAAATTAATGGAATGTAATAATCGAATATAACATATGGATTTCATGAAGATCTTACACCCGATATTCTCTCAAGCATTAAAAAAAACGACAAAACGCGTTTCGGAGAACGAGTGCTGTCAATTTAAAGCATGAGATATCCCAGAGAGAAAAATCCGTAGTGTATTATTGAAATTCCGCCGAAAAAAAAAGTAAAAACACTGAAATTCCTTGATGCTATTTTTATAATATATAATGATGATGTAGCGATGACTCTTATCGGGCACTCTTTCTCCACGAGTTCGCGAATGTGTCGAGTAAACGCGATGTAGAGCGCTATCGAAAAGAAACGTTTTCTTTTTCTCACCTCTCTAAAGAAGAAGCTACAAGTTTGAAATCGACAGAATCAGATTGGAAAGATAACGTAGAAAAAGATTTTTATATACATAACACTATCATTATACAGTGTCCCTGTCGCATTAACTGCTAATGGCAGATTTTCTTCAAGAATCTTCATTTAGAGGCGAACATTCTAATACCAAAACGTTGACTATAGTTTTAGTTTTAGCATGCACAGCCAGCTAATTAAATAAATAAAAAGAATTATGAAGTTATAAATTTAAAAGTGCACGTCAAAAATATTTGACATTAATATCTAAAGCATCTTTATTATGCACAATAAACCTGAACGCGCAAATTTTTAACTACTCAATCATCTTTAAACGCTTCCTATATATGGAAACTTATAGTCCCGACATTTTGATATTAGAATTTTCGTCTCTAAATGACTTCAAGAATTTTTCACTAAGCAGGTGATGCGTTAGATCTTTTCTTGCATTTATCAACACAATTATTCCACTTGGAAACTCATATCTTTTATACGAGATTACTTTATTTGAAGTTTTTCAACATTTCTTCAGTCAGATTTCTTTTCAATTTATACGTACCCATAATCGAACAATGATAGATTTGTCTGCCCAGTCCGATTCAAGAGATTGATAAAAGAATTTGTGCTTTTCATTGCCTGTCATGACATTGTTACATTGAATGTTTAAATGTTAGTGTATTTACTCCTGTCTGCTCAATTTCCCAGGATGCTAATGTTCAAAACAACTAGTATCCCCTTCTTCCTTTTCTTCATTTCCTTTTTTTATGCTAAATCTAGCAACCATTCCACCAGGAATATTTGTGATAAACTGACCTGTATAAACGCAAGTTATCTTTGCGCATTAAGATACTCGCAGTTTTTCAGAAATAATTCGCGTTTTAAAGGTCGTTTGAGAATGGAAGTGTATGAGAAATATTGCCATTGACTATGGTGTTTTTTTATAATTCACCGATTGTGTTTGTTAAAATTAATTATTATTACTATTATTATATTATTGATATTATATAAAAAACATGAGTGTACTACAGTTTAAATATATCTTTTATATTAAATCGATAATGAGAGATGTGTTATTTTTATAATTCCACTATCACAATTTTATTTAATAAGCTGTACAAGAATTCATCATACATTGTTACTCTATATAGAGATAGAATATTATAACTCCTTGTTACAATAAATGAATTTAAAACAACGTGCACTACACATGCTCTACATGTGTTACGTGATATTACTAACTTATAAAATATAGAAAGCATTTTTTTGGACGGAATTGATAATTAATTAACGATGCCACAAAATGCCACAAATTAATATTAACAGTTCACCCTGTTATCCTTTCCCCACTTGCGCATAACGCGTATTATCTGCTCCACTTGAGAATTGGATGTATTTTTCAGAATTTGTATCACTTCCGATAGTAGTTCTCTGTGTGTATGATGAAAAAGACAAAGTTTACAAATTAATCCTCGATTATACAGTGATCTCTCATGAATGTGCGACATGTAAAATATACTTTGGTAGCTTCTCCGCGATGATATACTGAAAAGTGCCGCAGCATGCGCCGCGCTTTCCTTCCCAATGTTCAGGACTTGGATCCATACGCTCCAGCATATCGAAGGCTTTAGCGGCGTACCAGAATTCGCCTACTTTGTAACACGTATTGGCAATCAGCTGAAGCAGACTGAAGGACTCCGCCGATGTGTCCATTTTTAAATACAGTTCCCAGGCTAATTCAGCCTTCTTATTCATTATATCTGAGAATAGAAAAGGCAAGCGACTGTTAAATAATTACTAAATAATTTGAACGAAAGTTATAAATTATAACAAAATATATTACTTACAGCAATACGATAGAAGACTGATGTAAATGTAATCGTTTTTATATTTTTCGTTACGTATCATCAGGAAAGCCTCCTCCGCTTCTTTGAAGTAACCCGCTCCGGCTTGAGCTTGAGCGTAGTTGAAGTTAAAGTTATCTTGATTGGAGAAATACGTCTTTATCGAATTCAGATAGAGTCTGACTCGATCAAATTGCCGGTAAAGGAAGAAGAAGGAGGCCATACATTGTCTACCAGGTATGGTATCACACTCCGATGCTGAAGAGCCCACTAGTTGAAAATACTGCTGTGCAGTTTTTATACTGTCGCGCTAAAAATTTTCAGTAATTCGGAAATGTGTATTAAATTTCATAATGCTACACAAAGGTAATTTATAGTGGCTTAACGACATACAGAATTGGTTTCCTGGCCCATAACAGCGTTAACTATACCCTTCAAAATGTATTCTTGTGGGACTGCTGGCTCCAGATCTTTGATCAAGTCATAGGCTGCCTTGACATCATCTTGTTTCAAATAATATATGACCAAATTAAGCCTGGCTTCTGGTATGACGTCCACCAAATTGGGTAAAATTTGCAATGCGTTCTCACCACCTCTGAAAACCTACGTGAAGAGTGAATAAGAGTGTGACTGAGAAGTAAAACTTATCAGAAAAAGTTACACGTACAACTGTGTTATGTCGTATAAGATCATGGCCGGAACTGAAGGAACTTGATATCTTCTCAATGAGCTGCTTCATCTCAACTTGCGCGGCATTTCCATCATACAAACGGAAGTGATTACACGCTTTCAAATTAATCGCGATTGCACTATCTGGATACTTTTGCAAATAAACTTGAAGCACTTCTTGAGCTACGTCATAGTAATCTAGCTTGTAATAGCACAAGGCTACATATACATTTAAAGCTAGATAATCTCTGAAAAATTAAAAAAATTTTTGTAATGATTAATTGAAAATGACTGAAATAACTTTTTATCAAGGAAAATAAAAAGAAAAATAAGCTATCCATTTGAAGCTAGATAATCTCTAAAACACTTCATTAAATCTAGTTAATTTAAATAAAAATTATTAGTTCATTTAAATAAAATTATTAAATCAATATCTCTTGCGATAATAAATTAAAAACAGGAATGACTTCAGCAAGGAAAATATAAAACAAAATTACATATACATTTAAAGCTATAGAACTTAAAAAAAAAAGAACTTAAGGCGATCCTAAATTGGAATCAAACTCTTAAAAATGTCGCTGTTTTACCGACGATTTGTGAGTATGCCTGCAATATTGATGAAATAGTATACAATATATGTAGTGATGTGTTCATGTTTACTAACGTATCAATATCGCATGCACACATCGTAACAAATTTTCAAGGACATATATCTTTTTTATTAGGCATCCAAGCCTAATTTTATGAACTTAACATTGTTTGCACATATAATTGTAGTTCCAGCTGGTATCATTTTG